TCGACCATAAACTATGGCGGTTAACGTTATCGTCTTCCCGGATCTCCATCCCTCGGCAAACTGCTGCAATTTAGTTAACGCTCTTCCATCTTGGAAACATGTATGCTACCAAGGAAATTGATATGGTCCTTACTTGATCGCTTTACGAAATGCTCACCGTTCCATTATTCTTTCTGTTTTTCTTCTTCATATCTTCTCTTCATATCTTTCTAATCGCAGGTAACCTGCCTGTCTGTCAATCTGCTTATCTACTTGCTTTTTCTTTTATCCAATTTTTCTCTCTTCTCCGATTCTTTTTTTCTTATAGTCAAACTTAACTTTCTACTATAATATTAGCATCATTTCCAAGAAAGTTTACACGAATCAGCTTTATATAATTATCGTATCGTTTCTTTCGTTTTTTTACCAATATTTGTAATTAAATCATTTATTATTCGTTTGATTATAAAAGAAAAAAAATTGTTTCATTGGTTCTTTCCCTCTCTTTTTTTCATTAAGATAGCAAAAGAGTGAACATGGGTGTAGAAAAAAAAGCAAACTATAGGAAAATTCAGTCTTCGTAACGAGACATTTGGAAGGGAACGAAAACGTTGCTTGTTTGTCGGCCGTTCGTGGTCCAGACAGTACAAACACAGAGGGTAAAAGGGGTGAAGGGGTGAAAGGGTGAGAGATGAAGAGGAGTAAGGGGAACGTAACGGCAAGCGATTGTGCGCACGTCGTGTCCCGAAAGCAAATTAAAAATCAATTCCAACGGCAATCCCAAAGTGTCGAGGTGCGTCGATGAGATTCGTCAACGAATATAACAAGTGAAACTCGGTTTTTCCTAAGAACCTGAAAACCTTCGAATCAATTACATAACTTATGACATCGCGATTTTGCCTAAAATCTTTAACTACATTTTACATTCTCTAATTGTTTCTATCATTTCCTTTTACTTTAAAATAAAATAGAAATTATCGTATTTACGTACATGTATATATATACATATAGTATAATATATACATGTCGAAAGACGAATGTTCAAGTAAAACAAAATGTCTATTGGAACATGTAAGCATTCGTTAATTATGGCATAAAAATGTCTTTAATCTTCGAATGCGCGTTTAATTGAATAAGGATAGTATGTATGAATATTCGTAAACGTTTTATTTCCTAATTTCCTATCACAACCAACACGAAAATCATAACAAATATCGCACGAAATGACACGCGAGAGTTAATCTTGTACACCAAAAAATGCCAAAAATAGAAACTATTTATAAAAAAGAAAGAAAAAAATAGAAACTAAATTAAATTAAAAATAAATTTAAAAATTCTTGTACGATCCGAAATGATCGTACGGTAATTAGATGTAGTTAAATCGCGCGCGTCCGATTCTATCGATTAGAACTATAGATCGATACTCATTGCGAGCATCGATCAACTACCGGCAACTATCGAAGCGCCCTTCTAGTTACCCCCACTTCTCGTATCCCCACTTCTCACTCCTAGTGCGTACGCCCTGTTGGGCCAGTACAAAAGGACATTCTTTCATTCCATTACTGGACGCCTGTGAATATATATCTAAATCAAAGGAGTTAAGTTAAATTAGTTAAAGAACGTAAGCGAAGCGAGCGAGAGGTGAGATCTTTCCATTATATACATTTCACATCTACGGTATTTTCCCGCGTGGTAACACCACGTGGTGGACCATCATTGTTATAATTAAATATCATCCAGGGTTTTTATGCCGCAAGGCTTTTCCCTGACGAGCCAATAAAAAAGTCATTGTTTCTTTGTTTGGCTCAATCACATGTTTGATTAATTTTATTCTAATCCCTTCTTTCTCATCCCCAGCAACTAATTACCAGAGGACTTTTCATTGAAAAATCTTTTGGTCATAACAATTCTTTAATTCGATTTTCTAACAAAAAAATACGAACGTTCATCATCCTTTTTTGATTTTCATTCCATAATAAAACGACAAATTTCATCCGCCTCGCGCGTCTACAATCCAATTACAAGTATCACCGATCGATCGAACAAAATGTAATCCTACATATAAGCTTTACTTTTTTAAACGTTATTATGCAAACGAAGGGTTCTCTCTTTCTCGCTATTTTTTTTCTTTTCATCCATCTCTCTCTCTCTCTCTCTCTCTCTCTCTCTCTCTCTCTCTCTCGATATATTGCACTTTCACACCTGGCAATCCATTAAATGTAAATCATATTAAACTTTGCTCGCATCCCGAGTATGAATATCCGAACAATAAACTACGTCCTGAATAATCAACGATATTCCTGGTATAAAGAATGGCACGTGTTTGTTAAAATTAAACCTTGCAAACGTAATCTCACACAATTTCGTACAATAATCAACGATATATTTTTGCTATATAAAGAATGGCACGCGTTCGTTAAAATTAAAACTTTCTAACGTAACCCTGAACAGTTATCTCATGTAAGAGAGAGAGAGAGAGAGAGAGAGAGAGAAAGTACACCTATTTTACATGTAAACAAAACAAAACGAACAAAAAGTAATAAAAGTATGAAAAGTAAACGGTGATCGTTCGTCTTTTTCTTACTACGATTAAGAAAAAAAAGAAGAATCCACTTAATATCCAACGTTATTAGATATCGATTAGTGCGTTAAACTGGGTGCAATCGAATGGTTCGACGATCTCGATTAATTTGCGAAAAAGTGACTCGACAAGCCTGCTTGTAAAAGGACTGCGGTAACGAGTCATGGAAGAGTTCTACCAAGTCTGGTATCCAATTGGAACCGACAGGGTCGCGTAAACGTTCCTAAAGTCCTACTACTGAAGGTAAATGCTGAATCTGCAAGAAAGAGAGAGAGAAAGAGAAAGAGAGAGAGAGACTTCTCTAGTATTTTCGTCTTTAAAAAAAGCTAAGGGAGGAGATGGGTTGGAGAAACGCTTTATCTTCCCCTCCCTTCCTCCTCCTTCCCTACCCCCACCGCCACCCCGTTCTCTCACTCCATCTCTCTCCTTTTCTTTCTTTTTTTTTTCCTCTCTTTCTTTCTCACTCTTTCTCTCTCTCTCTTTCTTCCCCTACGAAACGAAGTTTTCCAGGGAAGTAAAGTCATTTCGCTCTAGCAATCTAAGTTAAGTGACTTTCGAGTGGCTCAGCGACGAAACTCAGCTCCGCTTCGGTCTTCGGCTTCGATCCTCTTCCTCGTCGTCGTCGTCGTTGTCGTCGTCGTCGTTGTCGTCGTCGTCCTAACGCTAGTAACCCTTTATCTTTCTATGCACCATTCTCTATTCTCAACAATAAAATCCAAAATGCAAGAGTATTACGCGATCCATTAGGCGGGCGCGTCTTCGCGGAGTTTTCTCGCATAAAAGAAAAGAAAACTCGAAACTTTCGTTCGGACTATTTTTTTCTATTCCGATCACCATCTGTCCTCTTGTACCACTTTAAAGATTAAACGTCCTGAGCTTCTACGCCGTACCCTTTTGCTTTTCCCTTTTTCTTTTCTATCTTTTTAGTTTTTCTTTTTTTATTTGCTTTAGTTTTCTTGTTTTGCAGAAATATTCGGTAGCAGATAAACAGATAGATGTAAATGATTTATCGAATTTTGGCAGAAAGCCATGGGATAAGCCATGAGGAATTACGTACGTCCAGAGAACGCGTATAAAACGTGAAATACTCTAGATCCGAATAACCGATCGACTTTACCATAAATCAAATGCGAGAAAATAAAGAAAAAGAAAAAGAAACTTTGTAAAAAGTAATATCGTATATAATAGTATTATATTTTATAATATTTTAACGTAAGAGAAAATAATATACAAGCTCAAAGTATGTGAAAACAGATATGAGACGTTTTAGAATTTTTATGTGAAAATAATACTTTAGCATTAAGCAACAAGTTCGCTATTTAATCGTAAATTAAACGATACCATCGTGTAAATTAAAGTATGCGAGAAAAAATAAGGAAAAACGGACGATAATATATAGAAATGGCTTGGAAATGCTCGAGATTGGCTCGATTTTCGAGAAATCACGAGTGTCCAGTCGCTCATAAATACGTCAACGTCTCTTTTTCCTTCCCCTTTTCCTTTCACCTTCTCATACTACCTTTCAACCCTTTTACCCCTTTTTACCGACGGAGAAGGAAAAAGCTAAAACGTCCCGCTCGTCGCTCACTTTACGTAGGAACGGGTGCGGCTATATGAATCATGAGGGTTTGTAAAGTGATATCGAATAGTATACAGAGTGTTCACACGCGCTAGGGTATATATATAGAGAGAGAGAGAGAGGTGCAGTGTATATAGGTGACACGGCCATTAAAACGAACGCCTCGTGCCGCAAATTGCTGATTCAACACTCTCCACGACACTCCATAAACGACGAGTGCCAATTTTGCCTCTCTCTGCCACTATCTATCGCTATATTTCTCTTTTTCTTCTTTTCTCCCTAGCTCAATCAAAACTAACAATAAGTAAGTACTTTTGGCATTTTTAACTTCTTGGTAATTTCGCCCCTCTCTCTCCCTCTCATACTCAATTACTAACTCTAAATTACTTTTCGCTCCTTAAGCTTCTATTTTATTACATTCCCCGACACCATTTTCGTGCTATCAATAGCATTGCGCTTCAATTGCTACATCGAAATAGATCCGTTTTCAAAAACGCTTCCCTTTCGAGCAGCATCCATACTCCTATTTCTTTTATCGGTAGTTCTTTCTGTTTTCTTTATTTTTATCTTTCTTTTCTTCTTTCGCGTTTTCCTACCTGCCTTCTCAAGCGTCGGTAGTTTTCAACCCTTCTGTTGTAATGGGATCTGTTAAAGAGTTCTTCTATAAAAGAATCATTATATCAAACTTTCCTTTTTTTACCTTTTTTTTTTTATTGAGATAACGTTGAGGTAGAAAACGAAGGAATACGAGAAAAGAGGTAAAGAAATCCTTTGAATGACAAGCTTTGTTTTCAGATATATTGAACAAGGTCTGATAAAATTCGAAAAAATAGTAATAATATCTGAACTAAACGAACTTACCCATCAGTTTCATAACTTGTGATTGGCTGATGAAAATGTTGAGGTACGCCTCGCTGCAGCCTATCAAGATTAGGAGAACAAGGAACTTGTATCTCTGGAGATTGCAGGATCCACCCGCCCACCACATTGTCTCACACACGGTCACATGCCACACTTTTTGCCACGACTACGAAGTATCGCACCGATATATAACCGACGCGTTTTTAAAATAAACAAACGATCGTGATCTTATCTTCGATACGATGAATACTTTTTTCACCTTTAACAGAATACATACTTAAAAACTATGTTTCGAGAAACAAAAGAAAAAAAATTTGTTTACAATCTTAGACCAATACCTATTTTTTTCATATTGTTTTCAACTCTTACCCGATTTTCTTTTTTATATCTGATATGACATATATTATTAAAATCTTTTACAGCAAAAACAATATCAAAAAAAGATTGAGAAAAGGCAAATAAAGAAACAACAAATAGTTTGAGTTTCCGTTGTCTAGAATATATCAAAGTCACGTGGCTCCGAAGATCTACGAAAAAGGACGAGCGGACATAAATACGAACCTAACGTTGCGAACGTCCGGACGCAACTGGCGAACAGCGTACACGGTTTTTCAGGGACGCGACAGGATTCGCGCTTGCGCCTTACGCAAACAGGATAGAGATAGAAAAGTAGGAACAAAGAAAGGAATTGAACAAAAAACGGGATGGAGTGGTACATACTTTGGAAAAAAACGTTCGAACTATTTCACCGAAAACTAATTTCTACTTCTACGATTTGTTTTCTTCTCCATCAAAAATAGTTCCTTTAAGTTTTTTCTTTCTTTACGACGAGTAAATATGTTTTTTTAATTCTTTTAATTCTTCTTTCTTATTTCTTACTATTATTATTATTTTTGATATAACATTCGATCATTCGCACGCCCTCCCGCATTCATGTTTATTCGTTCGTTCGCAAATAAACGAGAAAATAAAATAGCGACTTAACTTGTCATATTTCAACGAATGCAGATGCCTTTCAAATTTTTTTCTTTGAAGCACGAAATTCCCTGCTGACGTGACCCCCAAGTGCGCGAAAAAATTCGGCACCCCTTCTTGGCCCCTTTCATACTCGTCAGAACGGCGCAATATCAGAGACGTCGACGTAAGCTGATCTCGTCTAACGGGAAATTGGGGTGCTAGCTCGAACAAAAATAAGAAAAGAAGAAGGAATAATCTGAGAAAGTGGAAGAAACGTATATATCGTACTGGAGAAGGAAGCTGCTTCTGTCCTTTTTCAAGTCCTTTTACCTTCGTTTCCGTCGATTTCCAATTGTATGCGAGTACTCGTCCTTAAACCATAACCCAACCCGTCGCTTTAAAAACGCTAGAATTTTAATTAAACAGACAGCATTTCGTACTCGCCAACTTCTAACTCTTTCTCTCACCTCTTTTACGCTCTCTTTCTCTCTCTCTCTCTCTCTCTCTCTCTCTCTCTCTCTTTTCTATTATTACCAATTCCATTTTACTTCTTCTTCTTATTATTATTATTAAAATTCATAAATTATATTATTGCTTTTTATCTTAATCCTTTATCCTATTTCAATCTTTACAGTATATTTCTACCTTTTTACCTGTTTTTTTCTTTTTTTACTTCATTTCATAATACTTTTCCATCAAAAAATGTCGACATTCTGTTTTTACTCATATAACTTTCATTAACTAAACTATTACAAAAGAAACAGAACATTTTTTCTTCTTTGCCCATTCACAAGTTTTGATACCATCCTCAACAAGTTGGAAATTTGTTCATAAAAAAACTCCCCCCACTTTTCACGATTTTATACTCGTGAATTCGAACTAGGAGGGGTGTGGAAAATGTGGTGGAGGAGAAGGTCGATCCGTGCACGCCTTTCGCCACATCGAAACGGGACTTTAATTATACTGCGGGATTAATTAACTCCGTTAAATCCAGCGGAACGTATACCCTCCCCATCTTGGTTTTCTCTTTCTCCCCCCTCTCCTTCTCTCTCTCTCTCTCTCTCTAGGGACGACCCGATGGACTACCGCCGTCATCGGAGGGATCGCCAAATAATTAAAGAGCTTTTTTCTCTTTCTCTCTATCTTCTCTCTTTTTTTCAGTTATCCGAAAGGGGGATGATGGTCCCCTGCCCGATTTCATTTCCCATCTTTGCTATCACGCGCACATGAAAACTTTTTAATGACGACAGGGACACCGACAGTTTCATGATCTTTTATTTTTCCGATTCTCCAAAGTTCTAAATATACAAGAAGATTCGTCAATCTAAATCGAGATACACATCAATATCGATCTTACGTAGTTGATTTATAATATAATATTTAATTATAGATAATTATCGTCACGTAGTTATCAAATCTTGGTCATCAAAGTCTTGGTCAACGTTTAAAAACTCGTTTATTTCACTTTTTGTTTCTATTCATTAATAAACAATTTATTTCTTACGGTCGTTGCAATTATATCGGTAAAAGAATTGAATGTTTAGACAAACTTGAGAAAATATATACGTACGCGGGTATTATGTACCTTACTATCAGATACATTCAGATTCATTAAATACTTGTACTATGAAAAGCAAGAAAAAAGGAAAATAAAAAGAAAAAAAGATACAGAAAGAAGAAAGCCCTAGAGAAAGTTTACCCTCACTGCTTTAGTTCCATATATTAGAAGGGAAAGAGGGAAAGAGAGAGTCTCTATTAATATTTACATTTGTATTTCTTTATTCTCCACTTTCTTTCTCTTTTTCTTCTCCAAAGATCGTAGCTCTTAGCAAAGGATCCTGTTTATAATACATTATAAATCTACCTAGTCGTTTCTCCTCAAATAATGGCTCTGCTATTATACTTAAATATCGTCCTTATAACGTCATATAACGAGTACTCATATAATTTTGAATTATTTTATATTACTTTCTTTCGTTTCGTGAATTGCTAATCGCATTTTTTATTATTATCGTATCTTTGTATTATTGGACTATGTTTTTATAAAAATATTATTATTTGTTTGACTAGTTTACATTGTTACAATAATATGAGTATTTTGAAATAACATTTTATCCAATCTTATACATAATCGCATTAGCGGGAACGCCTATAATTGATGAAACGTTCTCGTAATGAAGTAATAAATTAACAAATAAATAAAACTCGATCAACAGGTATATTTGAATAAATCTATAAAAGGAATGCTTATTTCTTTTTTTCTTTTTTATTATCTCTAAATTTTCATGCCATTTATCCAAAGTGGACCTTAGGCAGATACGAGTGTATCTATCAATGAGTGTAGTTCTATCACGTAGATGTTATCTCACAGTAGAAAAAGATAACAATAGATAAGATTAAAATAGATAAAAAAGAATTGTGTTAACTTCTAAAAGAAATAAAAATAAGGATAATAACACAATCAAGCGTTGTACATAATACGTATTAATGATTTAATTTATGTAATTGCCTTTTAATCAAGTTCTCTCCTCGAGTCACTGAAAAATCCGATTTACTCTTCAAATTGATTTTATATTACCCTAAATGGAAAGAACGATAAATAGTGATAGAGAATGATGGTAGTGGTTAGAGTTGTTAATTGTAAGAAATTGTCTTCAAAAAAACAAGACGTTCATCGAGGTGATATCTTGATTTTCGTTCGAAGGGGAATTTGTAACCAAATCTTGCGACCAGTTTTCCCATTTGGCATTACAACCAAACCCATATCTGAGATGAAAAGAAGCTACAAGACAATTAACGATGAATTTTTTTCATTAACGATCAGGAACACAACGTGAGACGTCGAGATTTGAGGCTGAAATCGACGACAGGACTACGAAGAGAAACGAGGACCGACCAGGCGAGAAACGCAGACGGCGTGAAACTAACGAGCTCCTCGAGACAGCTACGCTCCAATCAGCTAGATCATTAACTTCGATAATTAATAATCATTGGAAATCGATCCTTGTAATCGACAGCTTTTTTTTCTTATTATTATTATATTTTTGTTTTGTTTTGTTTTGTTAGATTTTCAACGATTTTCTTGACTAATACATCAATTTTTTTGTTAGTTTTTTTTAGCAATTTTATTATTTCTTATATAATCTACTAGAATGTTCCGGCCACGCGGCCATTGTTATAATAAATATAAACTATTCAGTAAATTATTACAACACATAAAACAATGCCACAGTTACAATGGAATACATCAAATAATAATACATGAAAAAATATAAAAAGCAAGGTTAGTTATTTCATATGTAAATCTGAAGGAAACGTATGATGTAAATATATAGAAATAATTAAATAGTAATACAGCGCTATTTATTGAAAACTTATAGCACTTAGAGACCTAGATAACCTTTAAATAATAAATCCTTTAATTAGCAATAAAAAATAAATATAATTGCAATAAAAACTATCCTATGTACTAAGTTGAAAACAATCACACAAAATAAAAAAAATTTCATTAAGATCGGTTCAGTCAGTAGTTTCGAAGTTTATTGGAAACCAATAATGTGACACACTGAATTTTTATATATAAAGATTATATCTTGTACATAATAATATTCATTTTTATAAGCTTTATATTTGATTTTGTTTTATATTCTCTATTTTTTTCCTTCGTAGTTTCATCTTTGCTTCCATGCAATCAAAATTCTCGTCGTCTTCAAGATATTCCCCAACATGTTTACGGAGAAATTAATGAAGCACCGACTATACACCGTGGATTCTTCGAACGGTATAATCACGTTCGAGTAAATAATTAAATACTCCTAGACGTATCAATAGCGAAGTTTAATACGAACGTAACAGTCAAGCATTCTTGCTGTGTCACGCAAACCGGACGTTTTAATTATTAAAGAATATCACTGATTCTCCAACTAAAGAGTAGTACCATTGTTGGTAAATTAATAAAAATATAAACAAATAAATAAACGTTAAAATATATAATTATTAAAAACGTTTGCCATTTTAACAAATAATCGAAGCTACCGTATTTTAATACGATTTGTATCTCACTTTGTGTTTTCTATACAAAATATAGATTCAAATAAATACACTTGTATACATTCGTACATATATTAACTAAAAATAATTTTACTATATAATTTGTCGAGAGATATTAATAACATTTCTTTATTAAATTACCATCCATCGAAAACTTTGTGTTTGCCAAGGCAAACAATTGGTCGTATTTAGCCATTATTTACTCGTTGTAAAAATAAAGGAAAATAATAGTACCTTATTATTTTCCTTGGGGTAGAACTTTACGAAAGACAATAGACGATTTTTGCCTAGGGTAAATCGCAGAAAATTCTTGCACAGATGGTCGGTCGACGGTGCGAACGAACGCTTTC